GTCTGGGTGACGACTCATTTTTCTGAAGGGCACTGAGCTCCTTGCCTTCAAAGACTCTGGGTGTGGGTGATGACCTGGAGATATAGAGGTTCTGACTCTCCTCCACGTAGCTGTGTTTGCAGTTGAAGAACATTGAAATGCTGCAGCTGTTTATAGCACAAAGTTTGAATTACACGCTTTTTGCACTTGATTTGTCCCGGCTGTTCCTTTTAAGCAAGATCATGGAAATGGGCATTTGAAAGTATGTTCCATGTTTCTGGACTACAAGCTGTAGAAACAGTTGAGATACCACCTGTCAGCAGTTATTGTTGCTGGCGGTGGTGTTATCCACACGTAAGACCCAGGGCTTTAAATCTCAGACTGCTGATTATTTCTTTCTGAGTCTTCAAACTTCCAAACCTCACGCTATAGGTATATACACCTCTACTCCAGATCCCTGAGTAATACTGCTCTTGTCGTAAAGGAGGGTTTAAGGTTTACTGTCTGTTCTTTAGAAAAGGAATTTAAAAAAAAAGAAAAAGAATAAAAAGCATGTGATGTACAACTGTATGGCCAAGATTATGGTATGTCTGTGAATCCTCCACTGTGGAGGCCCAGGCTGAGGCACTACTGTCAAACCTGGCAGTTCACCAGGCCCTTGGAGGCCTAACAGAAGTGCACTTGGGCCCCACAATCTTAACACCTTTTTTTCAGTGCCATGGCTAACACAAGTTTATTTTCTTGTTAACAGTCCAGCAGCCTTTCTGGTGAGCCAAGGCTTCTGATTGGTGGTTGGAGACCAGGCTCTCTCCATCTTATGTCACCAGATAGCCTCAGAGACCCCTAAGCAATCGTTTGCAGCTGGCCAGCAGACAAGAAGAGCATGAAGGTCCCACAGAAGTTTACAGTGGGTCAGGGCTGAAGGCGGGACACATCGCTTCTGCCTGCAGTGTGCAGAAGGCTGAAGTGTGGACTAGCTGGATCCTGGACAAGGAACTCAATTTGGTGAACAGCTGACATCAACCACTTCCAACTTCAAAGTGTCTCCCTGAGCTGATCACGAGACAGCCTGTGCCTATCCACCCAAACCCAGTGATTTGCAAGTCTTTTGGAGCTGAGCTGCTGAGGGCTATTACTCTTATTGACAAGGGTGTACAGCTGCACAGATTATCTGAGGAATAATAAAAGATGAGTCAAGTGTTTACCAGGCCCAGGCTGGGTTCGAGAGTCAGAGACCAGCCCCACAGTCAAGTGTTTAAAACTCATACCTTCTAGGATTTAGGTTCC